GCAGTGAGAGCACTGGGGTCTAGAAAGCAGCTGTACAGTGCAAATTCATTCACCCCTGCTCTGCCAGGGACTCCTCTGTGCTGCTCTGCTCACAGGCTGAGGAGACCCAGGCCACTGCAGCCTCTCCACTGTGCCCTCAGGTGTTTCTGCTCTGAAGAAAATCCACGTGTCCTCTGCTCCACAAAGTCTGCATGGGATATCTGGGGAACCCAATGATCACAGGGATAAATAACATCTGGGACAGTGGCAAGGGGTTAAAAGGGACACAGGGAAGGAGTGACAGGCCATTCTGGCTAGGTCTGCTGGGAGCACATTTCCCTCATCCTTCTCCTTACTGTGCCTAGATGACTGCCTGCCAATAGGGAAGGACAAACAAGTGGAATTGGGCTAGATTCCCTGATAGAACTTGCACCTCATAATGCTGGGAAAGAGAAGGCTCATGGGGTGTATCCCAATTCAGTGTTTCACTGATGGGAAAATTTCCATCCAAGTCCTGAGGAAAACTGTGCTAAGCCGGAGACAGGATCCTGCAGTGGAGACTATGGCAGAGTGCTGTCTTCTGAATTCAATATGAGAATAATGGTGTTGACAGAGTTTTAGTTGTAGTTAAGCACTGCTTACTGCAAATTCAGGAAATTAGAGTGTCTCATTCTTTGCCATAGAACAGGTACACAAGCAGCTGGAAGGGAACATTATTGAGAGAGCAGACCCAGTCTGGCTAAAAGGATATTTCCTCCCTGCCAGCCTGATGCTCAGTAAGGAAACTGAGGGGATCTGGCCAGGTGCTGCCTGTTACTGCTCAGGGATGGGCTGGGCAGTGTGTCAGTGGGTGGTGAGTGACAGTATTGTGCATCACATGGATTTACATGACTTATTTATCTCTCTTTTTTTTTTTGTTATTTACTTGTATTATTGCTCTGTTTGGATCTCAACGTCTAAGTTCTACCCTTTTTCCCATCCCACAGGGGAAGGGGCTAGTGAGGGACTGCCTGTAACACCTAGTTACAGCTTAAAGCACAAGAACTTGAGCATCAGACAGCATCTCTGTGTCCCCACAGCTATGGCATGAGCTGCAGCTCCCCTGACCAAGCCTGTTCTTCACACTCCAGTAAGGAATTTCCAGCTTCTGTTCTTGATAGATTATGAAGATTTAGGTGAGTATCAGATTACTCTGAGCCCCTGCACTGTCCTTTGCATTGAGGATAACGAAGTGTAGACAATTCAGGAAAGCCCTCCTATCTAGAAGCAAGCAGCATCCTTCACAATGAATGGACTAGAGAGCTACAGAAGGAGGAGGCAGAAGCCTGAAGTGGCCTTTTCAACAGTAGAAATGTGGAGTAACTGACATAAATGAAAAGTTTCGGAAACAACTGAAAATAACTGATGGAAAGTCTTCTAAATATGAGTCTGTAAAGTTTTCCAAGATGCTTTCAGTTCTACTGGCACTGCAAATATTAAATAATTCCTCCTGTGTGGAATTCATTACTTATGGGCTCCATATAAAAACCTTTGGAAGTTCCCAGAGAAACAATGCACAAAGTAGGGAAAGTTAAAGCCTGAAAGTCTTTATTAATTTCTCATAATTTCTGCTTGTCCAGACACAAAAGAACAGAAATGATGATGAGAAAATACACATCAAACCAAACAAGCATCTCAGTGGGAGGCAATGGTGGACTGGATCCAGGAGACGTAGTTGCAAACCTTGGTGTAAACTCCAGGATAGCCCTCCTGGGCACATCCTAAACCCCAGGAGACAATGCCCTGGAGCTCTCCGTTGCAGACCACAGGACCGCCGGAATCTCCCTGTGCACACAAAGGATATGGATATTCAGCAAATGGCATCAGCCTAAGCAATGAGCCAGAGATCCCTGAGATCACTGACTCTGCAGGAAGCCCCTCCTGGCGTACTCAGCACAAAAGTTCTCCAAAGGCTGCTCCTCATTCACACTCTCCACCTGATGCTACCATGTCTGACTTGAGCTCCAAGGGCACCACAGCTAAGGATGAGCCAGCTGCCTGTTTTTGCCAGATGCGGTACATGGCAAACCTTCAGGATTTGTGTGCCTGAAGCCTCTGCTGTCATTCAAAAACTCAGATTTACCAGTGCAGTGAGTATAGCTGACTCTGTAAAGTGAAGACCTCTTCAGCTGGGAAGAGGCAGGAGAGAAATGACTGGGAAAGGAGAGGCAGATGATTTACCTGGCAGGAGTCTTTTCCTCCCTCCAGGAATCCTACACACATCATGTTGTCGGTAATTTGCCCAGGGTAGGCATCAGAGCACTCAGCGGCAGAGAGGACCGGAGCATTCAGGCACTGCAATTGGTCCGGGTAGTTGGCTACAAAGAAATAGGCAAAGATGGTTGATGGCATTGCTGAGTCCTTTTCAGAGCTCAGAGAGATCTTAGCAGAAAAGCAAATGCTGGACACCCT